TGGCTCAAGTGGTTAAGACGCTGAACTGCAGGCTGTGGAAGGTCGGTAGTTCAGCAGTTTGAGACCCGAGTGTGCCGCATGATGGAGTGAGCTCCCGTCTCTAGTTCCAGCTCCTGCCAAACTAGCAGTTCGAAAGCAAGAAATTGCAAGTAGATAAATAGGGACCACTTCAGTGGAAAGGTGACAGCGTTCCCTGCGCCTTGGTGTTTAGTCATGCCGGCCACATGACCCCAGAAATGTCTTCGGACAGCACTGGCTCTTCGGCTTTGAAACGGAGATGAGCACCGCAACCCTAGAGTCGGATTCGACGCTTTCGAGCAAGGGAACCTTTACCTTTAATCAGTTATAAGAACCATCCTCTGTACCAGAATGCCTCCTGGTTCCATTCCAATGTCTTCTGCCTTCCAGCCATTCATTCACTCTTCCTGGGGTGGGCGGCATCTAGATCCTCAAATGAAAACTTTTCAGAACAGGTTTAGACCCCTTGGACTCCTTTTGAAGAGAGACCAAGGTTGAGGATTAGCTGAACGGATTAGTCCAGTTAATGAAACCCTCTTTTTTGGGGGGTCATATTTTGGGTGTGGAACAGCAGTCACTGGGTGTGAGCGGAGGGGGAGATATGTGTGAATTTCCTGCATTGTGCAGGAGGTTGGACTAGTTGACCCCGGAGGTCCCTTCCATCTCTATGAGTCTATGAAAGAGTGGATTTTGCCACGGATTAATAGGGTTGCCAGGTCACTACTGGCCGCCGGCGGGAGATGGCGGGGTAGACTTGTCGGATCCAGGTGGGGAAGTTCCTGGAGATTTGGGTGTGGAGCCTGAGGAAGACAGCGGGTATCAGAACTTTGCAAAAGGTCCTGTGTTTTCCTCTAGCATGTCAACCTATCGATCTGCATTCGAGATTATGTAGGTTGATTTCTCTGGGGTAGTGTGAAATGTCTGCAGAAATATATTTACAGGCAAGGCAAGCTCAGGCAAAAGAGATTGCACAAGGAGGTGTCTGGACAGGGATGTACTAGGGACTAGAATGAGAGACCACGGAGTGGAATGACAGTACCAGGGGGTAGAAGAACTGTTCTGGGACTGGAATGAAAACCCCCAGAGTGGAATGACAGCCTCTTGGAGTAGCAAAAGTGGTCTTCGACTGGAATGACAGGCCCCAGAGTGGAATGACAGCCCCTGGGGGTAGCAGGACTGTTCAGGGACTGGAATGATAGGCCCCACAGTGGAATGACAGTCCCTGGGGGTAGCAGGAGCATTCTGGAACTGGAAAGACAAGCCCCAGAGTGGAATGTTCAGGGACTGTTCAGGGACTGGAATGATAAGCCCCAGAGTGGAATGACACCATCTCTATGAGTCTATGAAAGAGTGGATTTTGCCACGGGTTAATAGGGTTGCCAGGTCACTACTGGCCGCCGGCGGGAGATGGCGGGGTAGACTTGTCGGATCCAGGTGGGGAAGTTCCTGGAGATTTGGGTGTGGAGCCTGAGGAAGACAGCGGGTATCAGAACTTTGCAAAAGGTCCTGTGTTTTCCTCTAGCATGTCAACCTATCGATCTGCATTCGAGATTATGTAGGTTGATTTCTCTGGGGTAGTGTGAAATGTCTGCAGAAATATATTTACAGGCAAGGCAAGCTCAGGCAAAAGAGATTGCACAAGGAGGTGTCTGGACAGGGATGTACTAGGGACTAGAATGAGAGACCACGGAGTGGAATGACAGTACCAGGGGGTAGAAGAACTGTTCTGGGACTGGAATGAAAACCCCCAGAGTGGAATGGAGTAGCAAAAGTGGTCTTCGACCGGAATGACAGGCCCCAGAGTGGAATGACAGCCTGTAATAATTCACTGAGGGTAGCAGGACCTTTCTGGTTATAAGTTTGGTTGCATGGCTGTGGTAGATAGACTAGAGTGGTCATAGTAATGCTTATATAACCATTACAGTATATCAATAGAGGTATGCAACTTTTGGTGGTAGTGGTGGGATTTGGGTATCCTGTACCTTGGTCAGACACTCTAACCACTATACAACATTGACTGTGGTGAAATCAGGGTGGTTCTTAAACAACTTCTCTTTTTGTGAGATATGTTCCACTCTCCCTGTCTGCTCCCCTGCTCTCCGATGTGAACCCAGAGTGTCTTAGATTCTTCTCCTCTCTTCTAGGTTATCCTCACAACAACCCTATGAGGTAGGTCTGGCTGAGAACATGGGACTGACCCAAGGTAAGCCAGCAACCTTTCATGGCAGACAGGGGATTTGAACCTAGATCTCTTGGATCCTAGTCTGACATTCTCTGTACTGGCTCTGATAGGGCAGGAAAATGCTTAAGCCCCCCTTTGTATTGTGACAGATGAGAGACCACAACGAGGAATGACAGTCCTTGGGGGTAGTAGGCATGTTCAGGGACTGGAATGACAGGCTCCAGAGTGGAATGACAGTCCCTGGATATAGCAGGAGTGGTCTTTGACTGGAATGACAGGCCCCAGAGTGGAATGACAGCCTGTAATAATTCCTTGTTTTTGTGTGTGTGTCTCTCTTTATAAGTTTGGTTGCATGGCTGTGGTAGATAGACTAGAGTGGTCATAGTAATGCTTATATAACCATTACAGTATATCAATAGAGGTATGCAACTTTTGGTGGTAGTGGTGGGATTTGGGTATCCTGTACCTTGGTCAGACACTCTAACCACTATACAACATTGACTGTGGTGAAATCAGGGTGGTTCTTAAACAACTTCTCTTTTTGTGAGATATGTTCCACTCTCCCTGTCTG